CTTCAGAAAAACTCAAAGAAACCATTTCTTCCTACTTGGCACCAGCTTCCTCTAGTAAATTTTTATCACCCAAATGCGACATTTAAAACGTTTCTACTCCAAAAGAAATGTTACAAATGTAGTAGTCATATCCCTGCATTGCAGGGTAGGAAGTATCTCAGATCCTCGTTTGCTGTGTTCAATTTCCCTCTATTTCTAGTGGGGGTTTCAGGGCAGATTTCTGTTTGCTGATTTTCCCCCCATCCCTCTGAATGGAACCCGGAAACTATTATTCACACGGACAATACTCATCTATTCTTGTTTGTCCATTTCATTTTAGGAAAATGAAAAAAAACATTTCCTTGCTTCTCTCCCCTTGCATTTCCAAGGACATGCCCCGGTCAGCGCCCAGGGGAACGGCCCCCAGGGGAACAGCCCCCAGGGGAACGGCGTTCCTTCCCATCACTGCCTACTCGACCCGTTTCCAGGCTGGCAACTAAAAGGCGAGGCTAGGCAACCAACTTCAAGGCCAGCGTGGCCACCAGCAGGCCAAGTGGAAACAAGCCTCGGGAATCTGTCTGAGAAGCCTACGGTATTTCTTGTGCCTGGGGCTCTATTTTCATGCTAACTGGCATCATCTTCAACATCTTCCATTCGGGGTCTGGGGAGTCTCTGTGTCCCAATCTGGAGCGGCAGGTGCAGGGCGTGACGCACCCACCCTCTTCCCTGTGAGTCCACTCCGCCGCCTGCAACAGGGCCGGTTCAACCGCGAGTCCTCTTCCCTCCTCCCCTCCCCTCAGGCCCCCAACGCCGCGGTCACTCCGGGTGGGGTTCCGTTGCTTTATCTCACAGTCCCGTTTCCGGCGAGCTAGTTCTCGGTTCGCGCATTCCGTGGGGTTTGCAATTCCCTGATCTGGGTCAGCTCTTCCTCCCTTACGTCTCTGAGCAGCTGTCCACTCCGTACTTACTTCTTACGAGTTTGCGCGGGATCACCTTTGCAAAACTGTGTGAGTGCGGTGGGTGAGGGCACAACATAACCTGGTGCACAAAGCGCTTTCCGTAGCTTGCCCTATTTTATTTTTTAAAGCTAATTTAAAAAGAAAGTGAAGAGACTCGGTTTGACTTTGCTTTCCAACCACACGACTCACGGCACAGTGCACTTCAAATCACAGCAAAATTGCGGGGTGTGGGGCTTCCCTGGTGGCGCAGTGGCTAGGAGTCCGCCTGCCGCTGCAGGGGACGTGGGTTCGTGCCCCGGTCCGGGTAGATCCCACATGCCGCGGAGCGTCTGGGCCCGTGAGCCATGGCCACTGAGCCTGCGCGTCCGGAGCCTGTGCTCCGCAACGGGAGGGGCCACAGCAGTGAGAGGCCTGCGAACCGAAAAAAAAAAAAAAAAAAAAAAAAAGTGCGGGGTGTGCGCGGAGCCAGGACTCCCCCGGAGCGCGTGCAGGCCCGCAGGCCTGGGGCTCACGGGCCGGAGGGAGGCCCCGGCATCCCGTCCCCGCTCCCTCGGAGCCCGCGCTGGTCCAGCGTGCCCGGCGGAGGTGGCTGGGTACCGGCGTTCGCCGTTAGTCAGCGGGCTCGGCCCAGGGTCCTCCCGGGATGCTGCCTCTGTTTTCTGCGCTCGGGTCCTTCCAGGTCGCCGAAGCGAAGGGCGCCCGGCCCGATGGTTGCTCCTTCAGCCCCGCGGGACCCGAGCGGGACTTCCTTCTGCTGGTTTAGGTTTCTCCTGAAGCCTTTGCGATGCACGGGCTCCGGGAACACCGCGGTCTATCGCGACTGGCACATTTCGTTTGCACCCAAATAACTCCCCGATACAGTCCCACCAAAAAACAAAGCGACGCAGGAGACGTGAAGTGGGGTGACTGTCGCTCCAAGGATGACCTTGTCACCGAACCTTTATCTCACAGCCTTAACTTTCGGGTTCTGGGCCCAGGCGGCAAACCGCAGGAGTACTCACCCGTAACCCATCCTGCCTTCCGGGAGGACCGACACCCTCTTCCTGCCTCCTCTTTGCCGCTCGCTTTTGGCACGTAGTTGCTACTCCTTTTTCTGTCCTGGGAAACCCGCGTCAGTCTCCGAAGCCACTCAGGGACCCTCGAATCTGTCCTTCGCCCTCCGGGCTTCCAGCCCCAGCGGGACGCGTTGTCTCCCGGGTCCCGGCGGGCGCCCTTAGCTCCTCTGCCCTGCGTCCCCGGGAGCCGCTCTTCACTTTGTTCCACGCTGCGCCGAGGCGCTCGAAACAACGGAGCCAAACCCAGCCCAGCAGAGACGTGGAACCCGCGAGCTTTTTACCTCTGCGCGCTCAGCACCGACCACGTCGCCGCCCCCTGCCATGGAGGAGACCAAGCTGTATCCCGGGGAGGTGGAAGAGTCTTTTCCTTTCCTTCTGCAAGCCCACTTTTGGGCCACCTCGCTTCCAGCCCAGCCCGCCGCGCGGGAGCCGGTGGAGCCGAGCCGCGGGCCGACAGGGGGCGACAAACTGTAAGCTTTTTGGCGGCGGGCTGGGAGCAGGCTGTCGCGAGCGCTGTGTGGTCCAGCAGCGGGCAGCCGGCGGCTGGAGGGGTGGTGGTGCGAGGGATGTGGGCTGTGAAATGAGGGCCGGCGGGCTCCGACACCCCAGGGAGCCGCCGGCGCAATCCTCCTAGCGTCTCCTCCAGCCCTGGAAGATCTCCACCAAGGGGAGTGGGGAGAAGATGCCGTCCTGGGACCTGGGCTCACCTCCTTGCCCGCGCCCCGCGGTTTACTGGCATAGGTGGGGTGATGCTCCCCTGACAGGGAGATTGGGGCGAACCACCTCTCACCCAGACACCCCAGCTCCATTTGTTCTTCTCCGAGCGCGCCTACGGGGTGGGCGGGGGGGGGTGGGTAGAAACGGCTTTAGCTGCTTCACCTTATTTTGAGGGCGCACAGGGTTATGGATGCTGCGTTTCCCGGAATAAAACTTTTTGGTCTTCGGCGCCCGACTTGAAATTCAGACAACGAAAGTCTAGATCAGGGGCTAACAGGTTGCAAACCACCTGGAGAGAACTGAGCGGGGCGTATCCCACTGCCCGCAGCCTCGGAGGGCCCCACGTCCATCGGGCACTCAGTGCTCTGCTTGGGGCCTTTGCAGAGTTCCTGGCTTTGCCCACCTTAATCCAAACCACCTTTTCCCCTCTCTGAAACCCGACGCTGCACGGTCGTGGACGGGCCTTATCTTCCAAAGAGTCCCACCCCCAACTCTCGCCAGTGTACTGACTAACCTCTACCGGTCCCTGTGGCCTCCCTGAAGTCCCTGGAGCCCGAGTCTGCACTATGTTTTCTGTGCTGCAGGAAGGGAGAGTCCTCGCTTCTTTTGAACCCGGTTTTTCTTTTTCCAAGGATAATTCTCGGAATTATCTGTCGGGGCCTGTGCACTCCCTCCCGAGAGCAGAGGAGGGAAAGGAGTCAGGGACTTGGTCTCCACTAGTCCCTGCTGCGTTGGTGGAGTCTGTCTGTGCTTCCAGCAGCATCACCGTCCAGGAGCTGCGTGCAGCTTTCTGCCAGCCCCCAAGCGCTTGGACTTTTGGGGCGATGGTGGTGGGGGACACTTCCTTCCTTCTGAGGAGAGCTGGGAGTATACAGGAATCCTAGGAACCAGGGCTTTTCCTAGGCTCCCTCCAAGGCCCCCCTTTCTGCTCCTACGCATTCAGCTAAATGCCCTTGGCAATTACTGGCCCCAAGCTCAGAACTCCCAGGTCCCAGTCTTCTGTCAAAACCAGGAGCTTTCTCCCTTTACCTGCTCTCTCCTGAACCCCACCTCAAGGCTCCCTTTGGGACTACCACAGTTAGTGACACAGGCTGGGAAATCTACAACTCGATGTTGATGCAGGATAGAAGTAGAGAAAAGTGTTGATGGTTAATGCTAAGTCCAAAGAGTTCAGGGCTGTGCAAACCCCACTTACAGGAAGGGGAAAGGACCATTCAGTGGTTTAACAAAGACCTCTTGGAAGCCACAGGTGCTGGGTGAAAGATGAGGCCACGCCCCCCCCCCCCCCCCCGCATGGACAGATGCAGGCTTCCAGCTTGGAAGACAAGGAACTGGAACGACCTAGAGCAGGAGCTATAGCGTTTGCCCTCTGGCAGGCCACCAGGACGCCCCTGGGGTCCGGACAGTGTGGGGTCCCTGTTCTGGGGGCAGCAGGTCAGGATCCCTTTCTGACCTGAGTCCTGGGTCACCTCTCTGAGAGAAATGAGTTCAAGTGGGTGGGCCTGTCCACAGGGAGACAGAATCTAGAATGTGCCCCCCTCACATCACTGAAATCACACTACTATCCCAAGGAGTGGGTAGCTGTTAAACATTGTAAAGATCTTCTGAAAGCGAAATTGGGGTGTCAGCCAGAAGTGGGGGCACTCTGGAGTCACTCCATCGCAAACACTTTGGACCCGGCTGGCCAGGCGCCCTGCATTACCCTGGGCTCTCACTGCGACACCAGCACGCTGCCCGCCCGTCCGGAGTTGGGGCGCTGGCACCGCTCTTCCCCTGACTCTGCCCAGGGAGAGGGACGGGAGAGGTAGCCCCACACTGACCACCGTGCCATAACCGACTTTAATCCTCGGATATCTTAGTAGTAATGGCAGCGGAGGTTAGTGATACAACTAAAACCCAAACTAGTACTAGTACTAATAAGTACTCATCAATTTGAAATGACTAGCCCATCATTCTCAAAACCCGAGGGGTGAGGGGCTTCGAGGGAAGCGGAGCAAGTGGAAGGTCCCAGGCCCGGCTGGGGTTAGGACTGTGTGTGTGTGTGTGTGTGTGTGTGTGTGTGTGTGTGTGTGTGTAGGGGGCTGGGTTCCGAAGGAGGGCTGAGGGGGGAGCACAGAAGGAGGGGGTAGAGTTTCAGCGCGGGGAGGGGGGCGCCGGGGCGCAGTGACGGGAACCAATGAGCTGCCAACTCGCGCGTCTCCGGCGTGACTGCCTAGATTGACGTGGAGGACACGTCAAATTGATCCCCGCACTCCGCAGCCTCCCGGTCAGACGAATTTCTCTTAATCGGATGAAGTTCACCCTAGGCCTGGGGTCGCGGGCGTGGAGAGTGTCCTGGGAGCGGGCGGCGGCGGCGGCGGGCGGCGGCGCGCTCGGCAGCGGCTCACGGCGCTCTTCCAGCCCGCGGCCCGGCCGCCGCGGCTCTCGGCTCGCGCGCGCCCTCCCTCTATGCCTCTCCCGCGGCGGCGGCGCCCCAGCTCTCCCGGACCGCGCCGGGCCCAGCCCCGGCCGCCTCGGCGCCAGGCAGCCGGCCGGCCCGCGCGCCATGGGTAAGGGGAGGGCGGACGAGGCGGGGGGTGTCCCGGCGCCTCCCTTCCCTCGCGCCCTCGGTCCCTGGGAGACCAGGTCCCGGGTCCCGGACTGGCCGCGTTCTCCGCACGCCCCCAGCCCCGGGCGTGGGTGGGGGGCGCTCGGCGTGTCGCGGGAGGGGATGTCCCAAGTAGACGCGTCGGAAGTCGCGAAAGGGCACGGAGGGCTGAAGTGCGCGGCTCCCCCCTCCGTGGTCCCTGCGCGCGTGCCAACTCCCGGGACCGGACCGGGTCCGTTTGCTCGGATTCCGAGGACCCGCCGGTCACCTTCGGAGGTGCCCCGGGTGCAGCCCCTGTCCCTGCGCGGCCACCCTCGGCTAACTCGCCGGTGTTCTTTCCCCTCCCCTCACTCTCGTCGGGCGCGTCCGCAGAGCAGACGTACGGCGAGGTGAACCAGCTGGGCGGCGTGTTCGTCAACGGCCGCCCCCTGCCCAACGCCATCCGCCTGCGCATCGTGGAGCTGGCGCAGCTGGGCATCCGACCCTGTGACATCAGCCGGCAGCTTCGCGTATCCCACGGCTGCGTGAGCAAGATCCTGGCGCGCTACAACGAGACGGGCTCCATCCTGCCCGGGGCCATTGGGGGCAGCAAACCCCGCGTCACTACCCCCAACGTGGTCAAGCACATCCGGGACTACAAGCAGGGCGACCCCGGCATCTTTGCCTGGGAGATCCGCGACCGGCTGCTAGCCGACGGCGTCTGCGACAAGTACAACGTGCCCTCTGTGAGTTCCATCAGCCGCATCCTGCGCAATAAGATTGGCAGCCTGGCGCAGCCCGGCCCGTACGAGGCGAGCAAGCAGCCGCCGCCGCAGCCGGCGCTGCCCTATAACCACATCTACCAGTATCCCTACCCCAGCCCCGTGTCGCCCACGGGCGCCAAGATGGGCAGCCACCACGGGGTCCCGGGCACAGCGGGCCACGTCAGCATTCCCCGTTCATGGCCCTCGGCTCACTCGGTCAGCAATATCCTGGGCATCCGGACGTTTATGGAGCAAACAGGTCAGTGGCGCCGGCCTTCTGTAGCCTTCCTGGAAGGGGCAGAAGTGGAGGGGGGCGAGGCATGCGGGTGAGGGGTCACTCTCGCGGGCCTCCTCCGACCGGTTTTGGCTCAGGGGAGGGCTCCGGGTTGGCCAGGGAGACTGAGGGTCCCGGGCCTTCTGTGGGAGTCCTCGGACATCTTGAACTTTTTATGACAAATATGGAAAATATTTCCCAAATAGAAGAGCAATCACCGACCACAAATTCGGAGGCTTGAAATTGCGCTTTTTCATTCTTGCAAAAAGTATGCAAACCCCTATCGCCAGATCTAAGCCAAACAAACCGCAAAGTCAATTCTGCGACCCTTTCTTAAGATCCCGATCTTTCGGGATCCCTCACCATTCCCCAAAGGGCTCTGTCCCTCCCAGGCCCAAAGGCTCTTTGAGTAAAAGGCGAAGGGTCTGGCTGGCCGGTCTTGCTGTGTGGCCTGAATCTCCAGCAGGCCCCGTGGCCTGGCGGGTGACAGGCGCCTGCAGGCTGCAGCCATCCTCAGGGTGAAAGCTCCCACGGATTTGCCCTTTGCTTGCAATCTCTGGGTGTGGAGGGAAGGGACGGGGAGAGGGGGGAAGGTTAGGGGCAGTTTTGGTGAGGGGCTCAGAAGAATGGATGGGGGCCGGGACCGGGTCCGTAGTCTCTTTGCACTGTCCCCTGCCCCCAGCAGCCGGCCAGAGAGTGGCGTGTTCTTAGGTGCGCAGACTCAGCGGGAGCATAAGAGGCAAAATTCACCGTAGCCCAAGAGACAGGAGGGGCGTCCAGAAAGAAACTGAAGGCTTAGCTCCAGCGGCTGTGGGCCGCGCCTCCAGGCCGTGCACAGGCTTCATTTCTCCTTGTGGCTCAAACCCAGCCTGGGCCGCAGGCTTGGGCCAAAGCTTCCCATGGAGCGTCCGGTGGGGATCTAGCGGGGAGGTGACTTCTCCAGGCCTGAGCTCAGATCTGGAGCTTTCTCTCGGTTTTCTGCACACACACGTGTGCGAGGAGCAGACCTGTGCAGGCGACGCTCACGGGCGGCTGGGTTGATGCCTCTTTCTGGAGGCCCGGGATGCCTCTGGAGGGAGTTGTGAGTAGAAACGGCTTCCAGCCCTCCAGACGCTTATTGAGACATTGAGAAGCCCATATAGTTCTCTTGAGCCTGCTGTGGATTTGAACTCGGACCTTTCGGGGCACCGTCTCTGCAAAGTGGAAAAGCCGCCTGGGCGGAGGGTGCCCAGATCTGGCCGTCAGCCTCTCCCTGTCAGAAACTTCCTGTTTCGTGGGAAGCGGGTGGAGACCTGGGAGGAGCGAGGGGCAGGTCCCCAGCACCCTCCCTCTGCCCCGCTGGGAGCAACAGCGAAATCTGGGGTCCCCGCTGCCCTGAGCATCTGCCGCCGGGTGTTCAGAGGAGCCTGGGTCGTGCTTTCGGATCCGGGCTGGGCGCTTGTAGGCACGTGTTTAGATGTCCGGGCCGGAGGGCTGCCCGTGTGCCCAGCGCGGACTCAGATGCCTCTTCTAATCCTCCTGTGTCCCCGCAGGGGCCCTGGGGGGGAGCGAAGGCGCCGCCTACTCCCCGAAGATGGAAGACTGGGCCGGCGTGAACCGCACGGCCTTCCCCGCCAGCCCAGCCGTGAACGGGCTCGAGAAACCTGCCTTGGAGGCAGACATTAAATACACGCAGGTAACTGAGCGCGGGGAAGGAGGTGTCCTTAATCAGGGGAGAGGGAGAGGGAGGGGGATAGGGAGAAAGAGAAGAGACCCCCTCCACCCCCAGGGGAGGCGAGTTGGGCTGAAGGTTGAGGTCTGGTCTGCGGGCATATTTCTCTCCTTTCCTAGGAGGGGATTGACTTGCCTTTTGCCAAGACACTTTTGCTAAAAAACCTGGGCCCCGTTAACACAAAAGGTTGAGGACTGACTCCCTTTCTCTAAGTCCCGGACGGTGAATATGATGACCCCCTTCACCTTTTGTTATTATTTCTAACAATTTGAGTGGACATCGCTTTGCCACAGTCCTTGCCAGGACAATTAGAGGCCAGACTTCGCATGGGGAATCATTGTGGGGACAGCAGGGAGAATGGGACTCCCCCCACCCCGGTAACTGCCGGTGCTGGAGAAGCCGGCGGGATTGCCCGCTGCCGACGGTCTGTCGCTCCCTCTCCCCGCAGTCGGCCTCCGGCCTCCCCGCGGTGGGCGGCTTCCTCCCGGCCTGCGCCTACCCGGCCTCCAACCAGCACGGTGTGTACAGCTCGCCGGCCGGCGGCTACCTCGCCCCGGGCCCGCCGTGGCCGCCGGCGCAAGGGCCCCCGCTGGCGCCCCCCGGGGCCGGCGTCACCGTACACGGCGGGGAGCTTGCCGCAGCCGTGACCTTCAAGCATCCCAGCCGAGAAGGTGAGGGGCGCGGGCCGGCGGGAGGGGTTCAGACGAATGCTGGAGGATTAGGAAGGGTGCAAAGGAGCAAAGGAGCAAAGGAGAGAGACAGACAGAGACAGAGACAGAGACAGGAGACAGAGAAGCTGGAGTGGGTACCGGCATAGATTCTTCCTCTGGGTTACACTTTAAGCCAGAGCAGATTAATTTCTAATAGGTATAAGCTGTGTCCCTAGAGAGGCAGGCAGAGATTGAGAGAGGCCCCAGGACTGTCCCCTAACTTGTATGGATTAAGAAGACCCCCTCTCTGGGTCTCATTTCTCTGTCCGTAGAAGGGTCTAGAAGGCACCCTCCAGGGGCACCTTCCTGTGGCCTGTGGAGCTGTACCTTCTGTGGAGGACCTGCTGTGGCACCTGAACCCCGCAGGTGGGGTTGGACCTGCCCTGGCCTGGACCCCTTCCACGCACTGCCCATCTCTTTCTTCCATGTCCGAGTTTTTTTTTTTTTTTTTTTTCCCAAGCAGGCCCTGTTTTCCCCTTGCATTCATCTTCTTCAACACATCCTTTGGGAGAGGAGACAGCATTTCAATCATGTGTCTCTAAGTCTAGACTCTTCTCCTCCTCCTCCATAAATCTGCTCTCTGATAAGCCAACTAACAGATTTGAGGTATTTAATTCACGGTCCACAGTGAGAGGGGCATCTTCTTACACTGACCTTTGGGTTCTAGTTTTTCCTGTAACTTGGGAAAAGCTCACCTGCCCTTGACTCTGCATTTTCCTCACGGTGAAAGGAATGACTGGATTTGCCAATTTCCAACCTGCCTGCTTTTAGGTTCCGAGCGCCAGGAATTTGCAACTTCAACTCTAGGAAAAGGCAGGAGTCACTCCGGGGTGGAGGTGGGGCCTCTCGGCCTCAGTAGCAAAGGTGGCTGAGCACGAACCTGGGGGCTGCGTGGGGCACAAGGATGTTCCAGATTCCCGAAGGGTCTTTGCAGCTGATCTGCCTTATACCCACCCAGGCAGAAGTGGGGGCAGGTGGCACTGGGTAGGCAGAGGAAAGGAGGGGCTTCCTCTTTGGTGATACCCAGGCAAAAACTTTATTTCCAAGTAGTTTCATTGAGACATAATAGCGTGATCTATGAAAGAGAGAGAGAGACAGAAAGAAAGTGAGAGAGAGAGAGGATTAAGATGCCAACATTAACAGTCAAGCGGAGGAACAAAAGTTAAAAATTTTTTTGTCACTTTTTTAGAGCACGAAAATTCTGGGATATCAATTTACAAATATTGAGACTTAGAACTCCTTCAAGCTTTAAATTTAATTTAAATAATAGGAAAATTCCACTTGTTCATTTACAGGAAAATCTAAGTAAAGGGAATTTTAAAAGTCGAGACTCAGAGCTCCTTCGATCTTTCCCTTTAAGGACAGATAAGGGGTCTTAGGGGAAGTGTTTTGCTCAGAGCCTTGTCCTCGGACTTGGACCTACTCGTTTTCTTGACACCTGAGGTTATCTGTTGAATTAGAAATTAAAATGGAATTTACCAAATTATACTCATTAGACTAATCGTTTAACTAAGCAGGTTAATTTGATTTAGAAAAGTGTATCCACAAATTTAAACGATTCCCCCTGGGCTGACCCCAAGTAGCAGGAAGACTTAGAAAAAGGACTCGCTATCTTCAGAGTGATGCGGTCCTTTCCTAACAGAGCCATTCTGTCCCAGGGTATTTCAAGCGCTACCTTAGAAACAAATTATGAAATGTAGGTAATAATCCAAAGGTGAAACACACAGTTCTGAGTTCTAGGCTAACTCTAGTTAATTTGATGGGCAGGGGGTACCCACTGGTGGTTAATTTTCTTTGGAAGATACTTTCCTTTCAGAAATACAGAGCCATTGAATGACACTGGCATTCCTGTCCATTTCACCATTATTTTCACTTCCTATTATGAAACATCCCACCCATTTCCAAAATCTGCAGCAGTAATTAGCTACATTCATTGTTAAATTAATAACAATGTTCTGATCCTGACAGTTCTTTAAAGATCCAAGTAAAGGGTCATCGAATAAATCAGGTCGATCATTGAAAATGATTTCTCCAGCTGGCATACAAATGTTTGTGTTTGAACAGGAACATATAAATAATGAGAATTGCATATCTACTTGGGTTACGGATTTTTACTCTTCACATTGGCAGAAAAACGGAATTGAAAGATTGCCCCCACCCACAAGTGGTCTTTGAAAAATTACAAAGCAAAGTAATGTGAATCACTGCCTTTAATTTTCGAATCATTGCTTAAGAAATTATCTTCAAAGAAACCTATCCCATAAGACAATTTACTATCATTAATTGTTCATAAGAGTAGTAGGAATAGTGTCTATTGAACTTCTTCAGTAAGAAAAGTTTCTTTACTGAAAGCAGTTTAATATCACGACGGTTCAGTATAAAACAAATACTTCTGATCACCTAGTCCATACACGGACAATATACACATAATAATATATATTATATTTTGTATATGTATATACATATATTTCAATATGTCCTCCACATCAGGTGCAAATGAACATTATTATCCTAAGATAAGCTTAGATGTCAAATTATTCATTACAATTTATTAACTTTATCTTGGTAGAGGGTTGTGAGTCTGGGTTCCCTATTATTTAGGCAAGACCGTGTGATTTACATTTCCCCACGGTGAAAGGAAACTTTAATTCTTAAGGCCTGAGAGCATAGGAAAGTTCCACTTCATCTACAAGTGGAGGGGGGCCCGTGTTCTAGGAATTCCGACCCCTATCCAGACAAGACCATCTCCCTCCCCTTCCCCTTCCAGACAGGTGACAGACCCCATCAGGCATTCCCTCAAGACAAATGGTATTTACAGAGTGTTTTCAGAAACCTCAAAACCTCCCGGCTCTGAGGTCCCTCCCAGCTGGCTTTTGGAAAAACTAAAGATTTGAAAATCAAATTTATAAGATATTGCATAGGCTCAAAGAAAATGTGTCTTTTATATTTGTTAGAGATAACTCGCGGCTTGTTCCAGTCACCCCTGCTCCGGATTAGTTCTTGAAGGATCCTAAAAGCGAACTTTGCCAGGAACACTAGGGCGCAAGCGTTGGCCTGAGAGCCCGCCGCCGCCAACCTCGGTCTCCTTTGACAGAGCCTTGGGAGACCCCTTTCCAGGACTCCGCTTACATCTCCCCCATCCCCGCCCCGCCCCACCCCAGGGTCCAATATTTTTTAAAAAGCTTGTCCCCATTTCTGCCCATTAAGTTTAAATAAGCTTGCAGAGCGCCTAACGCCGGCCCGAGCCTTCGTGGGGGCCCCGCGACGTACCCACAACGTCGCCCAGATTCCTGCAGGTGGGAAAGGAGGGGCAGAGGGGTCCTATGGGGAGGGACTGGGGCGGGGGAAGAGTTACAAACGCAGCAGCAGGCTCGCCCCCATAGAGTGGAGTGAAATCTGTCTCTGGTCTCCCGGGTGTTTATTTTTCACGAGTTCATTTTCTCGCTTGTCTCTCAGGCAACCGGCCCTTGGCTGAGAAACCTCCAACTCCGGAGTTGTTTTCTAAACAGGGCCTCACCTCCAAGTGTGTGTACTGGGTGGAATGAAAAGGTCTGAAAACCTCGTCGGCTGAGCGGCCACAACTGTGTTTCGGAAAGAGAGCTGAGAGGCAAGGGAGAGCGAGGGGTCGGTCCTGGAAAGGTCTCCAGACCCCTTCGCCACCTCTGCGAAACCAGATGTGCGCGCGCGCGTCCCTGGCGCAGAGGTGTGGGCCCGGCTCCGCGCGGCCCCGGGGCCGTGCGCCAGAGCCGGGGCGAGGGCAGCTGCAGGAGGAAACAGCCGGGAGCTCCCCCTCACCCCAAACTGAGACGCCTCCAAGCTCCCCCTTTAAAGGAGGACGTGTGGAGGAGAAAAGAAAGTTGAAAATAGGCGCTTTTAGGTATAAATAAGCCTGTGCTTTCCAGCGCAGGAGAAGCCGAGGGGCCGGGCGTCGGGAAAGGGAAAAACAGGGGTTGCACAATCGTGGCGTCAATTTTCTGGCTTCCAGTAGCAAAACTTGGGCCCCTTCCCAAAACCCTAAATAATAGAGCAACTCGCTGAATGCTGCCTAATATGGCAAGTCCACTGTCACTAAATCCGGAGGCCCACAGGCCCCAGGACGTGCTGTGCCCACAGTGATGAGCGCATCTGGATCCCCGGGCCGCGGGGGCAGAACGAAGTCTGCCGCCCGCCTAACGCGCGACCGCCTCCCACGTCGGGGGTGATCCTGGCCACCCTGGGCCCTCTCCGCGGGGCATTTTGGTGACCCACCCCCACTCGATTCCCCCCCGGCCCATCACGGGCCCTGAGCTGCTTTGAGGACCGTGACCTGACGCGCTGGCAGCCTCTTGGGCCGGTGCGCCAGCTGGGTCTGGCGTGGGTGGGGGCTCGGGAGGCGGGGTGCGCGGATCTCAGCTCCCCGCTCCCTCCCCGGTCTGCGATCGGACCACCGCCCCGCCCGTGGCCGCCTGGCTCTGCAGCGCCTCCCTGCGCCCGGCGCCCGCTTTACTGAGCGGCGCGGGGCCCGCGGCGCGGGGCGTCTGCAGGCGGGCCCTGCGCGGAGAGCCGCGACCCAGGCTGGGAGGGCGAGAGGCTTCCGCGGGGCCGCGAAGGGTGGGTGCCGAGGGCTCCGGGGAGCGCGGTCTCGCTGCCTCCTTGCAACCCCGAGATGTGGAGCGCGCGCTGCCCCTTCTCCCCGGGACCCTGCGCTGTCGGCCGTGTTCCCGGGTATCGCGGTCCCCGGGTCTCCCGCTCTGCGCAGCTCCCGGCAGTGACCCCACGCCGTGTGCTTCCTCCCGCAGTGGCCGACCGGAAGCCGCCCAGCCCCGGCGGCAAGGCCCCCGACGGCCTCGGGAGCTTACACGGACTGCCCGTCCCGGCCTCGACCTCCTAGGGCCGCGCGTCTGTGAGCCGAGCCCAAGCCCGAGCCCGGAGGCGGCGGCGGAGCGGCGGGCGCAGTGGGGCGCGGACCCGAGGACTCGCCGCGGCCGAAGTGCCCATCAGCCCCGGCCTCGCCCGGCCCCGCGCCCGGCAGCCGCGCTTCCTCCATCGGCCGGGGTTTTCGGCTTCTCTGAACTTTGGCTTCAGACTGTTGCATCTTCGTCGCCGCGACCTTTGCTCTGACGTGGCCTCCCTCGTCCAGCGGGCCTCCAGCGTCTTTTCCTACTTCTCCCCGGGCTGTTTGGCGCCGCCCCTCCCTCCCTTTCTCTCCCTTCCCCTCTCTCCCTCTTTCCCGCTCTGCCTCGCTTCCCTTCTTCCTCCCTTTCTTCCCTCCTTCCTCCTGAGCCTCCTTTCCTTCCCCACCTTCGGCCTCTTCATTTTCCTCTCTATCTCGCTTCCTTTCCTCCCTCCGTCTCCCCGTCTACGTGGGCTCCCTTTCCTGTGGTCCAGCCGGGTCCGCCGTCTTCTCTCCTTGGCCTTTACAAGTCACGACTCTGCCTCTCCTTATTGGCACTGCCCGGACCCTCACCCCCTTGCCGAGAGCACCAGACCAGTCTCCATGACAGGCCCTCCTCTCTTTAGCCTCCACCCCTCCGGGGGCCCCAGCCCTCACCGAGGGGCTCCAACCTGGGAAATGGAGAAGCCACAGTTTTTATTTCATATTTTTATAACCATGAACCCAGACAAAACCTTGGTGAACTGTCCCTTCTTCTCCCCCCCCCCCCCAAGGATATTATCAGGAAATATTCTTCTTTGGATGTTTTCTCAGTGCCCAGTGGCTGGGCTTCTCTTTGCTTCCTCTGAGATGATGTCACCCCAAAGAAGACTGGGGTAGGAGTAGGGGCACTGGGGCCACTGTGTTTTCTGTAGTTAGAAAACCATGCGTGCCCTGGGGGTGCCCCCTCCTACCCCTCCACACCCAACAGGAGGGAATCTGGCATATGGCAGACGCATCAGCACTGTTTTTTGGTGCTCAGGGGTCAGCACATGTGTTAATTTAAACGACAAACTGCTTCCGGGTACAAAGGTGCAATCTGGCTTCTGGCTTGCAAAGGGATGGGGGTCAGGAAAATCCAGAAAGTGTCTTCTAGAGCAGGACACAAGCTCCGTTCACTGCTCCCAAGTTCAGGAGCACTGGTGGCAGGACCCTGGACATAAAACTTCAATCTCTGTAGTCAGAAAAATGTCACTGGTGAGAGTCTGACATCACCTGTTAACCATGGCTACCTTTGAATAAAGGAAAGCATCTGTATGTGTGCTTTGTAAGGGTAAGCAAGTCTGTGTCCAGACTGGAGTGTTGTATAGGTATGTCTCAATGACTTAGCCCCTGGGTTTCCAGCATAAACACTATTGAGAGGGAATTGTTCTGGGACTTCCCTGGCAGTCCAGTGGTTAAGATCCCATGCTTCCAACGCAGGGGGCACGGGTTCGATCCCTGGTTGGGGGAACTAAGATCCTGCAAAGAGGGATTTGTTTTATTGGTTTACTCCTTAACACTTTGTAACCCAGGTTGAGGTGGAAGAGAAAATGAGAGGGGAGGAACATTTTCAGGGATGGTCCCTGGAAACTCGAGGTAGAGAGACAGAATGCAGAAACCATCCTAAAATGAAGTTAATTCTTAGAGGGAAAAAATGGGCAGAAGGCAGTGAGGAACAATGGAGGACTTTCCCAGAACATTTTTTAACATTCTAAAGCTAAAGAAAACGATCACAGGCTACCAAATAACCTAGGGATTTCTCACTACAGAGGAGTCTCTGGCTACTTGTTTTGTTTTTCCTCCCACTGTTTGCTTTTCTAAAACTGAGAGCAGAGATTTTCGAATTGAAGGTTTTGCTTGTAAGTGGAGCTGTCGGCTTGGAGGGAACCGGTGGGGGAATTATTCTCATTGCATCTCACTGCAATAGTACCTGCTGGAGGCATTCATCAAAACTAATGAAAAGAATACCTGCTTCTTTTCATATAGAGGCTTTTCTTCCCAGGTCTTCAAAGTCTCTGCTTATACAAAACGTTCCATTTTATAAACAGGAATATTGAGGGTTAGAGACCTAGTTTATTTCTCTGGACCACATACAGCAAGCTTTGGATCACAGGGTTTGGACATGGAAACTGGGTGACACCATCTCATTAGAGAGCCAGGATTGGGGCTCAGACTTTGAGCCTGGGGTCCTCAGCCTTCTGTGCCAGCATTTCCTGCAGAGAGGCTGCCCATAATGATAACAGGAATAAAGTATTTAGATGAGCTTGACGTGCTCAGTCGTCCACAGCATCTCACACATCCATCCTTGCTGCCTGGAGGACTGGCTGGCTTGGGCCAGGAAGAAAGCACCTCACCTTTTCGGAAGAAATGAGAAGAATCCATCTCTCATTGCTGTCATCCTTTTTTTCTCTGCCATTGTCGTGCTCTGTGTATGGGCTGACTGGGATCAGGGGTGAGAAGAGCTGGAAAATGCAGTCCAGGAAGGATGGAGGCTGCCACCTGCAAAGGGAGGCACTTTCCAAGTCTGTCCCCCGCAGCTCCCCGTGTGCTGTGGCTGGAGGAGGGCCTTCCAGGGTCGCCGGCGCTGAGGGCGCATTCACAGAGGATGGACAGCATCTGGTCAGAGGGCCAGCACGCTTTGTCATGTCCTGAGGGATACGCAGGGCTCTCCCTCCTCCCTGGAGGCTGCGGGCCCTGGAAAGTCCCAGTGAGCTTAGGTGAAATCCCTGTTCCATTCAGTGGGGAGGAGGCCTGTGACTTCGCCAAGCCTCGGTGTCCTGTCTGTGAAATGCACCCTCCCATGCGGTGACACCACTGGCCTGCTGGAAGCCCAGCCCTGGTGTTGCTTCACCTGTCTGGAGATGATTCTTTTTTCGCTGTTAACAAAGGGCAGGGGAGTCGTTTTTATGGTTGATGGAAGGACTCAGAATTGAAACACTTTTCAAAAGAGCCCATTAAGGATTGCATTTTTGTTCTCCCTGCATGTTGGTCTATCTGTTCTGGGGACTCATGATAAGGTTACAAAGTACCATGTCGGGTAGAATAATTTGAGAAAGAATCACTCTCTAGAGGCAATTTGCACTAGTACCTGCCTTTTATTATTTTTTAATTTAAGAATAAATTTTTAAAAATAAAGTACCAAAAATAAAATAAACAGAAAATGACATGTAACCACTCAAATAACCCTTGGATTTGTTAAAAGAATGAAAGTAATATATGTACATCGTTAGAAAATTCTAGCAGCACAGAAACATTGAAATGAAAAGTGAAAGTTTCTTCCTGTCCTCATCTCTGTCCTTAAAGGTGGACGCTGTTACAGTTTTTTAATGATTCCTTCCAGGAAAAAAAATGCAGACAGCAGAACTCTGTTTCTGTGTTTGTGCTTTAAAGGTACATACAGCGCTGTGCTCGGTGCACACAGATGGGGTCTGGAGATCTGATCTTTGCACACCGCCAGCTCTAGCATATTCACTTTATTCTCTTGAATGGATGCATATCAACAAGGGTTTATTAGAAACAGAGTATTTGTAAAGAGGGCCAGCTTCGTGCTTTAAATGAATAAAGACTGGGTTTTGTGGCATTCATGATTGGAGAAAGGGCTTAGAATGGATTGTAAAAACTTCCCTAGGAAAGGTGGCAGCTTTGGGGCAAGGAGGAAAGAAAGCAAACCAAAGGACAGGAGACACAGAGGTTTGTCCTTCCTGAAGACATCCTGGCTTGTCCTACAGATCACCCAACGATGCTCAAAGCTGCCAGGGGCTGAAGAATGCAGTTTTCCTTTCTTTGAAAGGACACCATCTCTCTAGGTCAGGAAAGAGAGACGGAGACAAAGTGGTGGGGAAGACCCTCGTTTGAAGAAATACTGGATAGGAATAAAATGTAAACATCCAACAATGGCACGAGCATTCTTTTTACTTATCCCCAATTCACTTGAAAACCATGTGGCGTTAATCTCCTGTTGGGTGGACCCCGCTCATTGACAACTGTGTTTCCCTGTTTGCTTGTTTCTTGACTTCTGTCAAGGAGGACGGGATTTATTTAATGGAGCGATGGTCTGGGTTAAAGCCCACTGGCATCAGTTCCTCTAGGTAGAATTATACTGGCCAGGGTTTCTTTTCAAAAGAAACTCTACCTGCTCCATGTTAGGCCAGGTAATATGAATTTAGAATCTTGCGAAAATGTGCCCGAGGAACTCAGCTCAAAGGGTTGTGCATCCAGGCAGGCTATGTAATGAGAAACATTTGATTCTCTTCTTTTAATGGGCGGGAATTACGTACAAAATGGTATTTGGTCTTCACCTTGACCTTGCTGTTTGAACTATAGCCTCACTCACTGTGGCTGAGATATTTCTAGCCAAACTATTAGATCTCAAACTTAAAAAAGAACAGAGTAAGAAGGAATCACACTGTCTTCTTTTTTCAAGGCAATAACACGGAAACCACACATTTAGTAACAATCCAACTTGGGAATTCTAAACACTTGGAACAATTATACTCAATTTAGTCTAGTCTCTTCTTTGGAGTTGAAACCAGTTGAAACCCCTGTTTCACTCTAAAGAGCTCTTCTCCAGGAGAGCAGTCTGCGATCCTCGTTGGAACACACATCTGTTTCTGGGCTGGCCAAGTCCAAAAGTGGAATTCCAATTACAGTTTTCATGGGTGATGGAATTTCAACTGCATTACAATTTAACCACCTGGGTTGCCTTCACCCTTTTTCTTCTTGAGGATGAAATAAGCTGATCAAGTGTTCACTCAGCTATTAAATTACATTTCCATCCTGTAACATTCTATTTCCTTTTACTCTAGTGAGATATATGGACTGGATGGATTATCTCCAGTGTCTTATATTGACCATACAACTTTCACTTTTGGGACATTCTTCCGGTCACTGGTGGATGTGGTCTTAGCTTTGTAAGATTTAATTTTACCCCAAACAGACAAAAAAAATTCTTTAATTAGATGTTTTTAATTTCACAA